CCCAAGTTCCACCTCTTTTTCTAAAATTTGAATCTGGTCAAGTTCCACTTGGCTTGTTTTCGCGACTGGTGTTGCAGTTCATTCAGTGGGGCAAAGATAAATATACGAGCGCAGTGGACCCACAGTTGTACCACAATTTTGCAAGATTTTATACCTCAAAAAACTGCTCTGTAATACTGCTGTGCCATTCATCTTCCATTGAAGTTGTTGTCCACAAAGGTAGTCCCACTCTTGATTTGGCAGAAAGTTTACAGTCAAAGCTCTCTTTGGCTGCAAATGTCAGGGATGACACCTTTGTCGTGAGCTGTGCCCATGCAGTACGTAGGCAGCTGGGATTGTTGCTTGAGTCCATGCGAAATGAGTTTTGTTGGCTGAAGAGTATGAAATATGAAGAAAGTTTCCTCTGTCCAATCTGTTGTCAGAGAGGTGAGATTTACTATTGTCGCAAACATTGTGCACAAGGTTGCAAGCAAGAGGAATGTCTGCACTTCTGGTCCGAGTCTGAGTTGCAAAATGTCGAGAACTTTTGCAACAAGTCTGCTGTTGCAGAGGGCACTACTGTTCAGGTCGAGCAGTTTGCACCATGGCTGGAGCCTATAGGAAATCAGGTAATTAACCGAAAAGTATGGTACGTGCGTGAAAGTGTTAAATATGGCAAAGAATGTAATGGAAGGTAAAGGAGGGGGAATGATTTGACTCCATACTGAGCAATATTATTTTATTAACGTACATCGCTTAATGGACTCAAACCACATAGAATCTTAATTACAGTACTTCCATGACATTACTTTAACTAGCATAATATTACATTAAAATCAACAGAATTGTCCATTTCAGTTCAAAATTCAACTTTGAGTTTAAGTTTATATCAACGTGAAGAATGCCTCCCATTTTAAGCCGCCAGTAACTCGTCCACCAGCTGTCAGCTGACATAATAATACCGGGAAATCAAACTTTAAAACTTTAGTTCCTTTAAATTGTGTATTAAAACGTGCCAGCGACTTGCACATTGACTCAGTTTGCTTCGACGTGCATCAGTCATTGAACGTTGGCTAGAAATTGTTTCTCAAACCTGTCAGACACACAGTTAAGGTACATTAAATATCTAACTAGCCTCGATCTCTGGGCCCGCGCTGTATGTTACGGATTCTTGTTTTCTCCCCTTTCTCCCCTTGTTTTCTCCCCGCCCAAGCACGGAGCGCTCGGTCCGTGACAACGGACTTCGAACTCGTTTAGTAAGAGGTATATATATGCGGAACACCCAGAGCGTATTGCATAACACATCAAGTGGGTATATCTGTGAGTAGCTGCCAAAGGGTAAAAGATAATGTCAAATTTTAAAGGTAGATCTACACAGCTAATTGCACTTTGTTGCATATTTGTTTCTTAAACGAATCTTGTGTCTATAGCACATTATAAGGAATGCACTCCCTGCGGTAATTTTTTCT